AGTGCTCACCAGAAGACTTCATCCTACCTAACAGGTTTTTCCTTCTCAATCTCCTTTGCTGGTATTGCCTTTTATCCCCTCTTTCATTGAGCTCAGTTTTTGGTCTTCTATCTACACTCATGCCATATCATCTAAATAGTGATGGTGTTCACATTTGTGTCTTCAGACTGGACCTTCAGCTGCTGCTTGACACATCTATTCAGATACCACGTAGGCTTCTCATCCTGGTATTTCTCCCTGTTCACCAAACCTGCTCTTCTGAAAACCTCTCAGATATCAGATCATAATAAATCCATTCTGACAGTTGTTCAGGACAAAAATCTTGCAGTTTTCCTTATTTCTTTTTCTCTCATATATTACATCTACTCCACCATGAAATCCTACTGATTCTACCTTAAAAATATGTCTAATATCCATCCATTTCTTTATACCTCTACTGTTTCACCTTTGATCTGAGCTGTCTTCATCTCTCATCTTACTGCAATACTATAATAACCTCTTAACTGGCCTTCCTGCTTCCACTCTGTTCCCCTTCTTCAGTCCACTCACAACACAAGAGAGTAATCCTCATAAACAGAAGTTAGATCATGTCACTCTTCTTCTCAAAGACCTGAACTTACTCCTCATTTCACCTGAGTAAAACCCAAACTCCTTATAATGGCCTATTATTTCCTATATGATCTATCCGCACCCCTCTTCTTACTTACAAATATTCCATATTTCAGGGAATGGCAGTCTGATTTGATGAATCTGTTTAAACCAGAGACTTTAGAGGCTTCCTTGAACTTTTCCCCTTTACCATCATACATCCAATCAGTTATCATAACCTGTTGATGGTTTCCTTGTGTCTCTCAAATCCATTTACATCTTTCCATTGCTGATGACATTGTTTCACCCCACCTCCAATTTAACCTCATCTCATATCTATCTACTACATTTTAACACCAGAGTGATCTTCCTAGTTAAATGCAAATCTATTCATATCACTCCATAGTGTGTCCAACTCCACATATCTGTCACTAACCAACTTTTTTGATGATTCATAAATTGATATTTGGAATATATAAGACAGTGCCTTACAAGTAGCAAGCTTTATTATAATTCAGGCTACTTTTGAAATGTCTGTTATGATAAAATCATTGGGTCACTTACTCAAAGTGTTTTACAGTACATAATTCATTTTTTAAAAGATTTTATTTATTTATTTGACAGAGAGAGATAACGAGAGCAGGAACACAAGCAGGGGGAGTGGGAGAGGGAGAAGCAGGCCTCCCACCGAACAGTTTGCCCGATGAGGGGTTCAATCCCAGGACCCCGGGATCACGACCCAAACCAAAGGCAGACTTAATGACTGAGCCACCCAGGTGCCCCTATAATTCATCTTCGAGGATATATTAGTCTTTGTTCTATAAATAACATTTTCTCAAGATTAATTCTTTTGTGCATGTAATCATTTATAAAATGAACTGTAGATTTATCTAATAATTTAGATTATATTTTTAATTTAAGAAAAGGTCAGCTACTATGTACATATCTAGGCTATTTCCATCTTAAGATTACTGTAGATTTTAAATAATAATATTAAATAAGAAAAAAAATATTAAACAATAATGAAAATATTAAAGGAGAATATTAGTTTCCATAGTCTACAAAATATATTCACATAAATAAGCTCATTTATTACTAAAAGTACTCAAAGAGTAGATATTATTTCCCTTTTTCAGAGGAACAAATTGGAGTTCAGAGAAGATAAGTGATTTGATGAAAAATATCCAGCCAATCAGTGATAGAACTAACTCTGGAATTCACACTCTTTCAATGTATACCATGTGGTAGTGCCTGTATGTGCAGGTTTTTATTTATTTATTTAATTTTATTTTAGAGAGGTGGGGGGAGGGCAGAGGGAGAGGGAGAGAGAATCTTAAGCAGGCTCCATGCCCAGCACAGAACCCTACACAGGGCTCAATCTCACGACCCTGAGATCATGACCTGAGCTGAAATCAAGAGTCAGTTGCTTAACTGACTGAGCCACCCAGGAGTCCCATATGTGCAGGTTTTTAAATACAAAGTATAATAAACCATCTATATATAAAATAATGAATGCTACTTTTCAAGTTGATAAATGCCTACCTTAAAAGTTTTATTTAAAAAATTAAAAGTTTTTAATGTAAAACAAATCAGCATTGTCCTTCCACACTATTACTAAATATCAATCTATTCTAAAATTTTTGATGTAACATGGAGGTGACATATTACATTAGGAAACCATAGTAACATGCTGTTTGAAACTATTTCAACCATAAAAAAGTTAGATTTTGGTTCTATTCAAAGGTCAGATCTGAAAATACCAATTTTGGGATGTGTGGCAAATTACAATTTCTTCACACGTTTTGGACGGTACCACTGAAGTTCTGACAGCAGTAAAATGTGTGTTTCTATCCTCTCCCCCTAGTGGTCAGAGATTTGGGACTAAACCCATCACTTCTTTCACTCTTAATTTTTGTATAAATAAATAAAATTTTTACCTACCTCAAAGGACAGTTGAAAAAATTCAAAAATTAATCATCCAAAAAAACCACTTAGTGTACCAACTAAAATGAATCTCAGATTTTCCTAAAGCAAGTATTAGAGGACTTGTCATTCCTCCCATTTTAGAATTTTAAATCTGGAACTAGTCATTCAAGTAAGTATTAATTGAGTAATAATCATATATGCAGAACCTTTTCTGGGGTCTATACATCATTTATATTCACAGATCATATCCCATTCCCTCCTCTCATAATGAATCTGGTGCATGGCAGACATACAATAAATGCTCATACTCAGTGAACTAGTGCAAGGCTTCATGAATATCATAATGACTCCCACTAACAGTTACTAACATTTATTGAGCACTAACTATGTGACAGACACAGTGCTAATTACTTTGCATGCATTCTCACTCTATAGGAGAAGCTAATATAAGTTAATATAATTAATTAATTGTTAGTTTAATTCTATAGCTAAGAAAATAATAGCATAAAGAGGTTAAGTCTTAGCTAGCTGGCAAGAAGTTCAGTCCCATAGTTAGTAAACAAACTTAGGTAGCCTGACTTCAGTGCCTACAAAGTGTCAGAGATCCATCCATTCTCTTACAGTTCTAGAAAAAGGAGAGAAGATAATAAATAAGGAAACAAATGAACAGTGTAATTTTACATAGTAAATAAGGATATGGAAAAAGGAGAACAGGATAATTTGACAGAAGTGACAAGAGCAATGTTGAAACATGGTTTATCCTCTTCCTGTGTTTCCTTGTCTACAAATAATAACACCTAATTCATATATCAGTTATGAGATTTAAATAGGTTAATATACATAAAATGCCTAAAATAGTATATGATGTATAGTATTAAAGTTTTTGCTTAAAACTTATTGGTTATATTTATGATTGTTCTTTTTGCATCTTTGTTATTATAATTGTCATCATACTGAGGGCCTTACTCAAGATAAGGTGATCTGGGCAGGCCTCTATGAGAAAGTGTATTTGCACCAAAACCCAAATGACACTTAGCCACATAAAAATTTGAAGACAGATTCCAGGCAGCAGGAACCAAAGGACAAAAGCCCCAGGGCTAGAATGCCTAGAAAAGAAGGCCAGGGTGGGCCCGGATGAGTTTGCTCAAGTTTAGATTAAAGAGCTGATCAGAGGGATGCCTGGTGGCTCAGTCAGTTAAGTGTCTCCCTGTGGTTCAGGTCATGATCTCAGGGTCCTGGGATCAAGTCCCAGATCCGGCTCCCTGGTCAGCAGGGAGCCTGCTTCTCCCTCTCCCTCTGACTGCTGCTCCCCCATCTGTGCGTGCGCTCTCGCTCAAATAAATAAATAAATAAAATCTTTTTTTTTCTTTTTTTAAAGAGCTGGTCAGAGCTAGGTTATACTGGGCTTCATTGGCCATAGTGAGGAGTTGGATTTTATTCAAAGTTCAGTGAGAAGCCACTGATTATTTTAAGCATGATAATGACATACTTTGATTTGCATTTTATAAATATCATTCTGGTTGCCATGAAAAGGTTAGATAATAGCTTCCATAGAATATCAATGTCACCACTTCCATTATTTTTAAAATCTTAGTTTTCCTGGGGGAAAATAATTTTCTTCCTGTATTTTTGGAACGTTTGTATCAGTGCTCTTAAAAGTACAATCAGCGTAAAGGACGTAAGAACGGTGTATATGTTTATACAGTCATACACTCATTTTGAACAAAGGTTACATGGAATACCCATATAAATGATACCTTCTGATTCTAAAATTCATATTAATCATATCTAGTGGATTTTAAAATCATATCTCTTTAAAGGAAAGTAGTAGAATAGTTCACTTACTTTAAATTAATATAAGGGGAGGAGATCCTTTAGGCCTCACTTCTCATATTTCTGTCATTTGGCCTTACCAGTTATTAGCTTCTTGCCCTTCAAGAAAGGTAACATTGCAAATCTGATTGGGTGGCATGTATTACTAGTGAGTGTGGTTACTTTCCTTAATCTTCCCCTTACCCCCCACACTATTTCCTCACACCTCTCTTCTCCAAGTTCACCTTGGTTTGAGTAGATTGAAAGCCCACTTAGGCCATACCATCCAACTCAATCTTACCAGGTTGATACAGGTTCGGTAGCCTCAAAGCAGCTATTAATAAAGTTGTATATTGATGAGTTGATACCACTGTGTGGAGAGGGGTAAATAGTGGTGGAAGAAGAGCATTTCCAGGTCTCTGGTTATTTCACTACCATAATAGCATTAACTCATCATCTTTAATATGTAATACCTGAAAGGCCATTAATGTATTCAAAAAGAATATTATATCCACACTCTGACAAAAATTATAATGCCCTACATTGCTATACATGTAGGTGAAAAAAAAAAAAACCCTGCAATTTAGATGAAGATTCCTCTTAATCCCTCTATCTCATTAAGGCTTTAGGTTTAAAAGTTCAAAAATATAGCTGCATAAAGTGAACTGTTTTACCTGAATGGCCTGTTCCCTTGTTCTTGACTTCTGTGGTTGCCACAGAAGAGGTGAGTGGACTAACAGGAGGGCTGGAAGTAACGCTTGCACACCCTGCAGATGTGTTGATTTCGAAATATTCTTGGTTGTGATTCATTCGATGAAAATCCAGAGAAGACACAATAGATGTTCGTTGTTTAGGCTAAAATAAATGAGCATGATGAGAGTATTAATATGATCATGTTCATCTTCAGCCCAGTCTCCCAATTGATTTAATATAACTGATGATTTTTTCAGTTAATCTATCTGGCTTTTATACTTAAAATACATATTGTGCTTTACAGAGAGACACTAAATAATCCCTTGATGAATTAAATAATGAAAAAATTATTTAATGAAAAAATATTCCGGCATAGTGGATAAAATAACTTAGACTTTTTTTAGATTTCCCCAGAAGACTGTACAAATACAGTACATAGAATTTCTCTTAATAATCAATTTGGAAAGTTGCAATTCTAAGTCACCTTTCATTTAACTAACATTTATTAAGCATATGGCATTTGCCAGACCCTGAGGATATAGACTCTAATAATAAAAGAGCTCTTGCAACATTGAAAGCATAATTAAGGCAGTTCTGTTTTTTGATCTCTATATAGTCCAAAAAATTGATAGCATTAGATATTGTCCCCAAGTATCATATGCTGGAATTTGATAATTAGAATTAAGTAAAGTTACATAGAACATTTCCCAGCACTTAAGAATCTACATGGTATTTGTTGTGAACTTTGATTTCCTTTTTTAAGGATTTTAATTAATCTCCAAAGAGCAAGAAAAGCCAATTTAAACATAAAAGTTAAAATCATGGAGCAATAGCAGATATAATCTATATACTTTACCAGTAATGGATTGTTCCATATAGCAGTTTTCTGGGTTTTTTTCCCCATAGTTTTAATTATATACACTTTTCTTCCTGCCTAGCAGAGCTTCTAACAATGTCCTTTAAAACTGCAGTCTTTTTGGCTCTCAGAATTGTGTGCATTTCCTAAGAATCAATCCAAGTTTTCTTACTTCTTATTTTTGCTCACATTACTGAAATATTAACAATCTCCTATAGTAATTAACAAGACATTAACTGCAATTTCTTTACAATAAAATTTACCACACGGGGGAGGAACAAGATGGCAGAGGAGTAGGAGATCTAAATTTCATCTGGTCCCAGGAATTCACCTAGATAGGGATCAAACCATTCTGAACACCTACAAACTCAACAGGAGATCGAAGAAAAGAATAGCAGCAACTCTCTGAACAGAAAAGTGAACACTTTCTGGAAGGTAAGATGTGTGGAGAAGTGAATCCGAGGCGATATTTGGAAAGATAGACGGCGGGGGAGGGGGCTTCCATCAGGCGCTACTGGCAAGTGATAGAGCAGCAGACCACAAAATCGGAACTTTTAGAAGTCTGCTCTGCTGAGGGACGTCACTCCAGTGGCTAAGCGGGGCATTGAACCCTCGCTGGGACAGTGTGGTCTCAGGACCCTCGGGGTCACAGGAAGACCAGGGGTGCCTGAGTGCGGCAGAGCTCCCAGGTATCAGAGCGGGGAAGCCAGCTGCAAAGATGGAGCCAAGGAGTGGGCTCTCAGCTCGGGGTTCCATAAACCGTGATCTGTGGCACAGTCGGGCCACTGCTCTTCCAGCAGGGACCCAACAAATGGCAGATCTGGGCAGACTCCCCTTCCTCCCCTGGGAGGAGCAGCGTGCGGGAGCGCACCACAGGAATCTCCCTTGGTTTGGAGACTCCAAACGGGGTCATGTGCTGGAGATAGAAATGCTTGGTCACAGGCCAGGTGAGCACGGAGTGCGGATGGAGACCGGGGAGACGAGAATGATTGACTTATTTTCTCTGGGGGTGCACTGAGGAGTGGGGCCCTGAGTTCTTGGCTCCTCTGGGTGGAGATTGGGAGGCTGCCATTTTCATTCTCATCCTCCAAAGCTGTACCAAAAGCTTGCAGGGAACAAAAGCTCCTGAGAGCAAACCCGAGAAGATTACTTAGCCCAGACTGGCAAGGGCGGGGCAATTCTGCCTCTGGCAAAGACATTTGGGAACCAC